ATCACCACCATTACTAAATAAAAAAGTAAAACATACCACAGTTTGCTTAATTGAATGATAATACACAAGAAAATGAAGATGGCGTATGCAGAAGTGGTCAATAATTATCCTCCCTTTTCTTGTGTTTACCTAACCTCTTCTTGATGATAGTTTATGACTTCATGATGGCTATAATTACCGTTAATTGCTCATGTAACTAAATATTACTTCTTGTTTTTGGCATCCAGCTAAAGTTTATGATCTAGGCAAACCATGTGATTTGTTAATTGTTTTGATTATTGTGTATTAAATGATTGCTTCATCAGCTCAACTGTGGGATCTCTAACAATTGTTCGGTTTAAGGTTGTTGATTGATTATGAGAAAGAACTAATAATAGAGAAGTCTAATTACACCTCCACTATTTGAATTGTCCTTTAGAGATCCTTTACTTCAATTATTTTGATCTCCTTAAAAATTAATCAATTATGGTGGGACATAACACCTCCACTAGGAAATATACTGGGAACAAGCTGTCAGATAGCTACCCCATTCTTGCTTCAAATAAGTCGGGAACTAATTAAGGGGTTTAATAAATGGAAGTGGAGTGTAGTGAACAAATTTATTGTATGTTTTAGTAATTTAATTGGTTGGATTAAGAATCAATACCTCGTCCAGTGTTTTGTTCCAAAATATTTTAGATGTCAGAAAATACACTTAAATTAAGGGAGAAAAAAAGAGAATAGATGGTATACTACATAGAAGAATCGAGTGAAAAAGGGATCGGTTGTTTTTCTAAAAATGATTGTTTTTATAAAAATATTTTCTTAAAGATTAAAGCATTAAAAAAAAAATACTTTTTTCAAATCGTTCAGTGAAGATTCATGAAAATGTTAGCCAATATATGCTTTTGACGATATTTTGAGTATGAGAGATTGTTAAAAATGTATAAACATTGGTAGTTACTGTTATGAAGTTAAGAGTTCAAAAAGTTGTGAAGAAAATAATTTCTGGGCAAGAGTAAATAAGTTATTTTTGTTCATTTTATGAAAAATAATTTAATTCAAATTTTTTTCATCATAACCAATTATACTAAAAATGCTTAAAACCTTGATTTTATCATGCAAAGCACAGTGAAAACTGGTACAAATTAATAACACGTTTATCTTGCCATATATATTGTAATCCCTAGCTTATTTTTTACCCTCTTTTATTCTCTAATAAATCTTCCTTGATGAATGTCGGTGTCTTTAGTAGGTCTGCTATAATAATGCAGAGAATCCCAAGTCTTTCCTTTGTAACCAAAAAGAAGGGAAAAAACAAGGACAAGCAATCTTTTTTGTTGCTTCTTTAGGTTGCTTCTCCGCCCTTTCTTCCCATAATCCAAGGCGGTAGAGTCAAGCAAATAAGTGGAGCCAGCCGTCGTCTTATATTTTGGACTTGATTCTTTTTACAGCAAAACATTTAGATTAGTACAATGAACTTCGATTCACTTAGGATCGTTTTTGGTTGTATCCGAGCAATTAATCTTAGCATAAATACTGCATAAGATTTAAATAATACAATATTTGGTTGGCCACTTAAGAAAAAAATTAATCATCGCATAATTAATGTATCATAATTAGTTGGTTGTATTCAGATGCGGAGTCAGAATTTGAGCACGACGGGGGCACCACTGTATATATCTGCTAATCACCAACGATAAAATTCGGCGAGCAACTCTTTGAAACTTAATGATTATGATGACTTATCATCCAAGTATTAACAAAAAGAAGCTCTAAAGAAAAAGAAAACACTAACGGAGGGAGAGAGAGAGAGAGAGAGAGAGAGAGAGAGAGAGAGAGAGAGAGAGAGGCGTTCAAATTTAAAATTATCAAAGACTTACTAAAGAAATCAAGATTAAGAGTATGTTAGTACTAAAAGAATTGAAGAAGAGTTTCAAATTCTTAGTTGCCATTGCCGATTCAGAGTGATTGTTGAAGAAGGTTGTGGAAGAAGATTTGTATTTTTCTATTTGTGGAGCAATAAGTTGCAATTTAAGGCTTTCAATTTTAAGGAAGGAATTTGGAAAAAAAAATAAAATTAATTAAATTGACTATTTTGTACTAGCACTAAACCATAATTGAATTTACAAAAAGAAGATAAAGTGAAAAATAAAGTAATTTGCTTTTAAATATAAATTACATTGTATTCAAAGAACTAAAATAAAAAAAGGAGAAAAGGCTGAGAGAAGCTTTGGGTGGTGTTGAACCTGAGTCACCACCAGCAAAGGAGAGAATTTAAGCGCCCAAAATTAAAGCAACCACTTCTCCCATTTGCCACTTCGTATTTTAGAGCACCACTAAAATATTAAGAGGTCCCATATATAAGTACAGATATATATAATATGTATATACAAAAATTTTACGTAGGTTAACACGGTCCCGTGACTCCTCAACCCCAATATAGGTCCGCCCCTGGCTGTATTAAACAATACTTGTATGTATCAGAATTTTATATCATTATATACGAGATAGAATATGGAATAAAAATATTATAAGTAATACAAGAATTAAATATTTCTTTATAAAAAAAATACTTTTTAAAGTAAGTAATCCATGTAAAATAATACATTTATACTCACCACATAACAATCTTTTCATTATTAATTAAGTCATTAAGTGCATTAATTCGTATAAGCTCTAACGGACTAAATTACTCGCAGCATAATAGTTCTCTAGGGAGTAGTTAAAGCACTATCTATCAAAAGTAGAAAATTATTAAAGATTAAAGTTGAAACTTTGAGTTAAAGATGAAGAAATATTTAAGTAAACAAAAATAGACAACTTAATGATGAGAAGGATAAAAACAAAGAGGGTGGGTGAGAAAATTGGAGTCCGGAACCAAAATGTGGTTCTTTTGGATTCAAATGACGAAAATGTTTGGAAAAAAAACTTAGAAACCAAAATATGTATAACGCCCTTTTAAAAGGCGCTATACCTTAACGGTTGTTTGCCCTGTTAAGGTATAGCGCCCTTTAAAAGGGCATTATACATATAGCGTTTTTAATTAAGGCGCTATACCTGAATATGAAAAGACAAGAAGGTATAACGCCTTAATGAAAGGCGCCATACATATTTTGTAGGCCCACCAATAACTCTTCTACGATTAACTGACATAACAATAATTCAAATATGTAAAACACTTTTTAAAAGGGCGTTTTACCTCAAAAAATTTGAACCCCCGAATTGGATATTGCCTTATTTAAAGGCGTTAAGGATTTGGAAAAATCCATTCAGAAATATTCTAACTGGGGTTGAAAGGATAGCAAAGGCATTCATAGACTACTATGCAAAGCTACTAGGTGAAAGCAAAGACAATAGACAGCATGTATGCAGTAGTTTAGTAAAAAAAAGGCCAGTAGTACAGAAGGAGCAAAGAGCAATCCTGGAAGCAGCAATTACAGAAAAGGAGATTAAAGAAGCACTCTGGGCAATAGGTGGAGATAAATCTCCAGGTCCTGATGGATATGGGGCTCAGTTCTTTAAAGATTGCTGGTCAGTAGTTCAAAAGGATGTGGTTGACAGTGTAAAGGAATTCTTTGATAACACAAGAATGCTAAAGAGTATTAATAGAACTGTCTTAACACTGATCCCCAAAAATAACCATGCAGACAGTGTTGGAGACTATAGACCAATTTCATGCTGCAATACAATTTATAAGATCATTTCAAAGGTGCTATGCAACAGGCTAAAAGGAGTGCTACCAACTATAATATCAGAGAATCAGAGTGCTTTTGTGGAGGGCAGGAACATAGTACAGAATATCCTGATATGCCATGACTTAGTCAAGCTATATAACAGGAAAAAATCAACAAAAAGTTGCCTAATAAAGATTGATCTCAAAAAAGCCTATGATACTGTGGAGTGGGGGTTTGTGGAAGAGATGCTCTATGCTTTGAACTTCCCTACAAAATTCATTAAATGGATGTCATGCATTCCTTTGTCCATGTATAGAGGCAAAAAGGGGCCTAAGGCAAGGTGATCTAATCTCTCCACTCCTCTTTGTGATATGCATGGAGTACTTTACCAGAATTATGCAATGGGTAGCCACACAGGAGGGGTTTGCTTTCCATACAAAGTGTAAAGGGTGAAAACTGAATCACCTATGCTTTGCAGATGATGTGCTGATGTTCTGCATAGGAGAATACCATGGTATCATGCTATTGCTGAGGGGGCGACAAACCTTTACTAATGCTTCTGGTCTAAGTACAAATGCAGGAAAATCAAACATCTACAGTGCAAACATGGAAAAGCAGTGTTTGGAGAACATATGTGAAATAACAGGATACAAAGAAGGGGCTATGCCATTCAGATACCTAGGAGTTCCTATAGCTGCAAGGAAATTGAAGGCAAGTGACTATGAAATGTTGGTGGAGAGGCTAAGCACAAGAATTCGTTCATGGGGTTCAAAGAATTTATCATATGCAGGAAGAGTGCAACTAATCAACTCTGTATTGATCAATATACACTCATACTGGGCAACAATATTCATTCTCCCCAAGAAGGTGATTAAAGACATCACAGCCATATGCAGAAGTTACTTATGGGCAGGGAAGAGTGTATCAACTAAGGTACCACTTGTGGCTTGGGACCTTGTCTACAGGCCAAAGAAGGAAGGGGAATTGGGCATAAGGGAATGTATAACATGGAATGAAGCTGCAGTGGCGAAATATGTGTGGAACATCGCTAACAAGGAAGACACTTTGTGGGTGAAATGGATCAATCATATATACCTGAAGGGAGAAGACTGGTGGCAGCATAGGCCCCCTGCAGATAGTAGCTGGTATTGGAGGAAAATTTGTGCCATCCGTGATATATATGGCAATGGTTACATAGAAAATGGATGGCAATCGAGGACAGGGAAATACACAGTCAAAAATGGTTAAAACTGGAGAAGAGGAAGGCTAGCTCAATGGCCTTGGTGCAGGGAAGTATGGAATAGAATGAATGTCCCTAAACACAGTTTTATTAGCTGGCTAGTGATGAGGAAGAAACTGTTGACAAAGGAGAGAACAATGAAACTTAATATTACTGAAGACAATGAATGCATGCTATGTGAAGGAAGAACAGAATCCATTGATCACCTCTTCTTTGAATGCACGTACTCTAGAATGTGCTTGGCTGAAGTATTACAGTGGCTGGGGATGAACATACAAAACACAGAAGTGAATGGAATAGGGAGAAGGATGGCTAGAATTGCAAAGGGTAAAGCAGGAAGATCGTTCACAAAGGCAGCTCTGGCAGCAGTTATATACTATATATGGAAAGCTAGGAATGAAGCAATATGGAGGAAAAGAGTGCCTCGACCACAAGTGTTACTAGAACAGATCCAACTCGCTTGCAAACACAGATGCATGGAGATAATAAAGAAGAAGAAAAACAATGGAAACATGTGTTGGATTGAACAGTTATATAGATAGCAATAGGAACTTTTGTATAATGAAAATAGGTTGGAATATAGTGAAGGCAGAACATAGAAGAAAGAGAGGGGACTTGAAATTGTAAATGTTTTTTGGGATGATTAAATAAAGATTTTTATTTCTACCAAAAAAAAAATTCTAACTCCTGTTAAATTTTGCTTCTTGTTAAATTCTCAAGCATTTTGTCATAATGTCTGAAGAGCGAAAAGTAAGGATTTCATTATATTGGGGGATGAAGTTGTGGTGGCGAATAACTCAGTTAGCTATAGTTTATCTCCACAGAGTCATGTTAAGTTGCCAGTTACAATGGAGTACGATAGACTGGTATCCTTGTTGTGTAATAAAATGAGTGTGAGCAAACATTCGGTGAACCTTAAAGTAACCGGAAGATATCCGTATTCTGTCACTCCGCAAGGGGTTGCTTGTTACGCTGAAATTAACATCGAGGATGATGAAACTCTAAGAGGTTTTTTGGGAACTCCAGATAAATATCGGGAATTAATTTTGATAAAAATGTTGGAAATGTACGTGAGGGTTGAAGACGTTCGCAATAATGAGGTTGCGCAAAGCAGGGATAACCCTCAATCATCGGGTGGTTATTCTGGAGCAGTTTTAGCCGAACAGGTTCCGGCTGAAAGAGTTTGGCCGGATCTAAACTTATCTCCGTCGGTGAATGAGGAGCGAGGAAATAATTTTTCTCCTACTATACATAATCCATAAGACGAGTGGTAAACTTCAATTTTTCTTTGTGTTACGATGTTTATTTTTGTTGTATTGATTTTGTATTAACACTCATATATTCCACAGGGAGTACCATCTAGATATGAATTTTACATGTTATGAACCCATGTCCAATTGGAATCTGCGTAGTTTTGGTGTGTTGGATCACGGTAGTCCATCCGGGAGTCATCACCAACATGATAATGTCCATCATGGAATGTCAACACATTACGACTTGTAAGTGAAGTGATATATCTATATGTAAAGTATTTATCTATTTGAGTAGCTTATTATTTTGTTGTTTTTGTAGTGAAAACGAGCAACTTGATGCTCATGTCCTCACTTAGTTGCCCGTAGACGACGTATTTACTCAGGATTTGGCAGATGCGTAGAGTCAGGAAGATAATAGTGATTATGACAACAATGTCGATGAGTCTGGAGATGACACACCCTTCCCTGACGAGGGTGATGATGAGGAGGAAGAGAATGTCGAACCTGATTTGACGAGGGAGCATGTTCCACCTCCCGTTAGACCAAGAGTGTACGAGTCCCACATATCGTTTCATTCAAGGCATATTCCCTACATTAATCATCTGCCAAGTATGCCGGATGTGGATGCCCTCACAAGGATTTTGACAAAATTCGGACAGCAATGTGGGATGAGTCTACACCAACGGTGCTGGCAAAGGGCATGCTTTTTCTTGATAAAGCGCGCCTAAACAGGGAGGTGAAAATGTACAGCGTAAAAGAGTGTCGTGAGATGACGGTATGGGAGTCAAGTCCGGATGTATACAAGGCTGTTTGTCGTAGATGGTTTACAGCTTGTCATTGGATGCTGCGTGCGATCAAGAAGAAAACAGGGTTGTGGAAAGTGGGTAAATATATTGGCACCCACAATTGAAATGGACACATTCAATGGGAATTACTTCAACTTGGATGTTGACTTGATTTCTCTTCAACTAATTCCACACATTGAAGCGTCCATAAGATAAAAGATCAAAGAGTGTATTACATCTGTCCACCAGGAATATGGGTGTACTATTACCAAAAGAAAGGCATATATCAGGCGCAAACGTGAATTTGAAATTGTTTAAGGCGATTGGGATAAGTCATTTGCATCTCTACCCAGGTACTTGGCCGCATTGCAACACTTTAACCTCGGGACTGTTGTTGAATTTGCTTTCCATGGAAGCTTGAGCGGAGTGCAGGAATATCGAAATATATATTCATATACGTGTTTTGGGCATTTAAACCAGCAATTGACGGTTTTGTGCATTACCGTCCAGTAATTTCCATAGACAGTACTCATGTCTATGGAAAGCATGATATTAAGCTGTTGATCGCCGTTGCAGTAGATGCCAATGGACAAATATTTTCCCTAGCTTTTGCCATCTGTGCCAATGAAAGCCAAGAGCTATTTTTGAACCACTTGAAGGAGCACGTTGTCAAACAACGTTCAGGTATTTGTCTAATATCTGATCGGCATGGGGGTATATTATGTTCTGTAGAGCATTTGCTTGAATGACAGGAACCGTATGCATACCACCGTTACTGTGTGAGGCACCTGAAGGCACAATTTCAAGAAGAAATATCCCAACAAGGACTTGCATGATTTTATGTGGATAGCTGCAATTGATCACCAAAAGTGCAAATTCAGGAGGCGCGTGGAATTGATCCGGCAGAAAGACGAAAGAGCCTATCATTGGTTGATGCGACATGAGCTTCACAAGTGGACATTTCATGCGGGTGGTGGAAGACGATGGGGAACCCTGACTAGAAATGTGTCTGAGTCTTTCAACGGGTTATTGAAGTCTGCACGTGGATTGCATGTCACTGCCATGGTGCGGATGTCATTTAAACAGATGGCGGAGAGGTTTGTCGAAAGGCATAGAGGTGCATCATAATTGATGGAGAGGGGTGTTGAATTTACGCCAATACCAATGAAAAGATTTGAGAAATATAGGAGGCGAGCACATTGGCATTCATTTTTTTACAGTATTGCAATGAGCAAAATATTTTTGAAGTTCACACCGCTATACATCAAAACCGGGGGAATAATATACATACCGTAAATGAATCCAGCAGGTTGTGTTCTTTTGGGAAACGGTCCATCTACCACATGCCGTGCTCACATGCCATGAAGTGCTTTCAACATACAGGTTTAGGGCCAACTAACTATGTTGATAAGCAATATAGTGTTGCTGCATACTTAAACACATATAGTGGGCAGTTGCAGCCAGTGGGTGCTGAGCATTATTGGCCGCCGGAACCATTTAAAATGGTGTGTTACAAGGACTATTTGCGTAAGCGACAAGTGCAAAAAAGAACGCGTATACGGAACCAAATGGATGTTGGTGATACAGTTTATGCGCGTAAATGTAGGATATGCTCACAAACAAGACACGACCTTTGTAAATGTCCTTCAGCTGGTTTGGTTGGCGGTGGTAATCCAGTTCCTGGTGGAAGTTCATCTAATGTTCCCAACTATCAAGGATATACGTAGTGTTTTATTTTCGTAATGTGGTTGTAATAAGTGTATGTACTTGTTTATGTTGCAAGATGTATCAAATAAAATTATGTTTCTATTGTTGTTAAATCTTATTGATATTTAACATTTTTCAGTTGAATAAATTGATGAATTTCTCCCTCCCGTTCATGTAATCAAAAATAGTATTGGATTAAAAAATGGAAATTTTTTACGTTGACTTTCGAATTTCACTCTAAAATTATTAGAAAACTATACTGTCAGAGGAGGAAGATATTTGATAAATATGTGAATATACATAGCGCGGTTAAATACTACGTTATGTCTGTTGTCTTGACGATTTGAAAAGCTGCCCGCCTGCAAAAAAGCTATTTTGTATCCGAAAGAATCTTTAACACGCGAAGCATAGCGCGGTTAAATACTACGTTATGTGTGAGCATATATAGTGCGGTTAAATACTACGTTATGTGTGTTGTCTTCTCGATCTGAAGAGCTGCCCACTGTGAAAAAGTTGTTTTGTATCCGAAAGAATATTTAACACGCGAAGCATAGCGCGGTTAAATACTACGTTATGTGTGAGCATAGCGCGGTTAAATACTACGTTATGTGTGTTGCCTTGCCTATAAATAACAGGCGCATTCTAGTTATTTTCTACGCTTAACCATAACAAATAGTAATACTTTCCATAAAAGTAAGGTTTTTTTCGCTTTAACAAATGTCTGAACGCATTTATGTACCAATGTGCCAATGTGGAAAATGCTGTATGGTGGAGGATTGTTGGGATGATGGTCAAGTTGGGCACAGATACTGGATATGTGTGAACAATTTTGGAGGCAACAATGAAAATTATTGCAATTTTGAGGTATGGCTTGATGAACCCTGTAAGCAGGAATGCTACAAAGAGTCATTGCAGTATTATCATGATTTTGACCAAAAGATACTGGGATGATGAGATTATGTATAAACGAGAAATTGCGGCGTTGAAGGAGAAACTAAAAGAGGTGAAAGAAGAAAAAATAAGGTGGAAAAGAAATTTAAGTGGTTGGAGTAGAGAATACTAGGCGGTCGTGACTAAACAATGACATGTATGTGTTGAGTGTAGTACTTTATCTTTGTGTTTTTCGTGTCATGTGTTTTCATTAGTTGTACTGAATTTAAATTATTTTAAGTTGCTATGTTTGTGTTTGTGTTGTATTATTAAAATAAAGAAGAACCAGGGAAATACAAATATAATGCGCATATAATATAAACATAAAAAATTATTGTTATTATTTACATAAAATATAAAAAGAAAAATCAATGTGTCCCACAGCCTGTGTGCTTTAATGCAGCCGCTGGCCTGAGGCGCATCCCATCCCGCCCGGCTACGCTATCAGGATCGTCCTCATCACGTCGCCTCTTTATCGCAGGTTGCGCTGCAGTATGATTGTCAGTAGTGCTGGCAGGATTGGTAGAAGGGGTCTTCGGTCCAGAAGCAAACTACAGAAGAATAAGTCAGCTCAATATATGAAAATATATATTAGTAATGCACGTGTTAAGTAAAAAAATTAAATTGTCTTACCATGTTCTAGTCGGCTCCTGAATATAAGCATCCGTCGTATCCAAGTCAGCATCGCACAAAGTGGGCTCCGTGACGGGCGAGGATGAAGCCTTAATAAGAAAATTATAAAGTTAGTTATGGCGAATCAATGAGATTAAAACAAATTTAAATTTAATAGTAATACAAACATACCTGCGCGTGTGAAAGATCCCTAGAAGCTATCGATGATGAGCTATAACTCAGCCGGCGCCCACT